TTGGAACTTGTGATCGGTAATATCATGTAATTAGCATACATTTCTATCTTCGTTCCGCGTTTTTAAAGAATACAAAACATTAAAGATTGAAATAAGTGATGAAACCTTAGTATTAAACCAAAACCAGAAACTAAAATGGTACTCGCTAATGACCATAATATGTATATCGTAATTTCGAAGGGTATCGTATTTTTCCAGAGATCAAGATGTAAGCAGCAGCTGCTCGATTACAAAACACAATTTAAAACAAGGAACTGCCAATTTTCTTTTTTTAAGACAAGTAAGTTGCATGAAATGGCCGTGTTTATACTGCGTTACTGGAAGTGCAGTGCGAGCGAAAGTTTCGGCTTTTGGTTTTGATTTTTGATGTTCCAATTTCAATTTGATTTTCGGAATTTCAGTCCGGTTTTTTTTTGAGGATGTTGTAGTATGATAAAATGAAGAATAATGAGAATGCAATGGAAGTGGAAACAATAGCAAGCGACAAACATCCCACTAATAAGAAGGAAGAAGCGAGGAGAAATATGGATTCGTTCCAGGGATGGGTTACCGCTGGTTCCGCTTGGTTTCGATCCGCTAAAGAAAAGGTGATATATTTCGCTCATTTGATTTATTCTAGTCATACTGCTATCATTCTTACCGTATCGGGAAAGATTAAGGTAAGTGCTATAAGGATTCACCGATTATCTTATATTGATTAGGTTTTGTGGAGGAAACACTCACTTTCATGATGGTGTAAAGTTATATGGTATTATCTTATAAATTATTCGTATGTGAGAGCCTTTTTTTAATTTTTCAGAAAATATCCTTGATGTTACACTGTCGAAACTCATTTTTAGTAGCAAATTTTGGATTCCCGTTACACCAAGTCAAAAGTTAAACGAGCGTCGAGTAAACCAAAGTTAGAGATCTCTCTGACATCCTTTTTCTAATCGAGAAGCTACAATATTAGTGGAGCTGTTCGGACTTTTTATTCAGATTTTGGTTTTATGTTCTAGCATTATATAAAATCTTCAGTATCAATGAATATAGATTAAAGGAATTGTCAAAGAATCTGAGGAAATTATTTTATTGTCAAAACAATGGTAGGATGAGAGGGCTTATTTTGTACACGTGTTCATGGTTTAATTTCAGACCTATACAACATTCGAATCGGTCAAAAAGGATCTTACTGAGTTCAGTGATATTGTAACCAGTGAAGCAAGCGCATTGGCAAGTACTACTGTTGAAAGCGTCAGGCAGCAAGCGTATAGTTTGCAGCAGATTGTAAGCTTAGAAGAAGAGAATGATAAGCCGCATAAAGAGGAGAGCATAAAAATGAAAAGTAGTACAAATGAAGTGAGTTCAAGTTGCAGATGAGACCTTTATAAAGTACAACTGATGAAAGTTAGAAAGTAATTAGGTATCTTGCAAATGGATTTATGATTTTTTTCCGTAGCGACTCAAGTATGTTTATAAATGCTTAATTTAGTCTCTGCTTAATGCTTGATTTAGTCAAGTTTCTTTTTGTTTCTAAGTAATCGCTTCAGTAAGTCTTCTTTTTGTTACTACGCAAAATATATATCTTGTGTAAAAAATATTTTAATTTTATGACTGGTATCACTCTTTACACTAAATTAATCGTGAGTTTTGAAATGAATTCTCAGCTTATTGCCGTTAATTTTAATCTAGGCTCATGAAACAGCTATCTTTAGACCGAACAATCCAGCTCGACATATGCTTTTGGATGGGCACCAAAGCTAGCTTCAATATCTACGATAACAGACAATTCGTGGATCAATGCGATAGTTGATGCAATGAAAAATATTGCGCAAGAAAATACGATTGAGGATGAGGATATATTCACAGAAAACATTTATCCACAAATAAAACCTAGGAGCAGACGTGATTTACCTCATGTAATTCAACCTTTCAAGTTTATAAAAATTTTACAGTAATGGAATTTTTTTGCTTATTTTAGACAACTATTTTCATAAGCAATTTTTGTATCTTATGATGAGTACTGAGCATTCACATATCACAGCACTTAGTTTGTTTTTTGGTACTTCTTGAAGTTGTTTATGTTCATAAACAAGGATAAGTTTCCAGTTGAGCGATGATTGATGAGTAGGGTTCTGTGAATTTCAATGTAATTAATCCAAGTGTTATTTTATCTTTGCTGTTTGCAGCATATCTTGTATGAAATTCAAACGAATCCAGATACATACATGAAAATCTCAGAAGGTGATAAGGAATTATTCAAAATGTGGTGCGATGATTTCAAGTTGATTGAATATGACAGCGAAATCAATGCTTTGCTTGCTAACTGTCCCCGAGTGAGGGCCTTATATCAAGAAATGGTAATTATAGGAACGCACTTTCTGTTTATAACAATTTGAATAATTTTGATGGCTCTTGGACTGCTGGTCAAGTTCCTAGAAAGAAATTTCGAAAGCTTTGTGCGTATGCATGAATAATTAAACAATGCTTTATTATTTTAAATAGTTAGAAGCTATATTAACAATGACTTAGTAAAGGATCGCTTGTATATCATAAATATAAGGATGATATAGTCCTTGATAAAATATAAGACGTAACACTCATAGGAAATATTTTAAAAAGATTCACATCGTGTTCCTCTTAATCAAATGAAATAACTAAGAGAACTAATATAAGAAAATTAAGGTGCCTGAAAAAATTGAGAATGTGGTTTTTTGGGCGAGGTACTTCTACAGAGTTCATCAGATGGAAGTGCTAATTGAATGTAAAGCTGATGCTGAAAAACAGCTGTTACAAGATGATAAAAATGAAACGACGCAAGGGCAAAAGCGGATGATAGATTTCGAAAAAAAAAAATGTGTTAGTTCTTATTACAAACTGCTACACTTACTAAGATGTTCGTGCGCTCAAAGCTTGTTACAGAGGAAGTAATTTCTCAATATAAAATGGAATAAAACTTGTCAAGGTGAAACAATAGTGAGTAAAATCAGAATGGTAGTAAAGTTTCATTTTTTCACCTGATTTGTTCTTCAAATTGAACTATCCTCAAATAGTGTTTATTTTGCCTCTCGATATTACTACTAATGAAGATAGTCTCGATATATATTGGACATATTTTTAGTATTTAGATGAAGTAGATTAGTTAAGACTTTTCCCACTCTTTTATTTTAAATCTTACAGATTCTGATGAAGCTGAGAGTTGTCTTGGTATAGAGCTGACACAAAGTCAGAAGAGCCCAGATAGACGATCAGCAATGGACGAAAGCTGGAGCCTATGTTCCAGTACAAATGTTGACATACAGGTGTGCTCCATCAATTATATATATATATATATGTATATATATATATATATATATATATAGTA